ATATATATATATATATATATATTAAAGGTGATCATTAGGGAACACCTAAAATACAAAAAATACGCATACTTTATAATATAATTTGCTTAAATCATAATATTTAAAATACTTGATGAAACAACTTTCGAGATTTATTGTGTTTCTGTTTAAATTAAATAGAGAGTGTCTCAGACGCTCCAATTTTTATGTGAGACGAAATTAAAATAGACTTTGAAAATAATTCTCGCAATTTTGCACTTGAAAAAAAAATATGAGAAACAATGTCTTCCATTTCCTAAATGTGAGTGATGAGTGCTAAAAATGAGTGCTTTTTTTCAGTTTAGAACTTGGTTTTAACTTAGCTAAAATAAAATCGATGATGATTAATGTTTTTTTTTCTTTGTCTCGAATACTAGGGGTAAGATTGTCTTAACCCCGACCCTCCCCCGATGGGGGCATTCAGGGATTACTGTTGACTGGGTGCGCGTACGTGACTACTCAATAAGAAAAGATGGGCAACAAGTGAGAGGCTTGGAGACGATTTTAGGCAACACTCGTCGATGGGGTCCCGAGAGTTGGAGGGGGGACGCGTGTGGGTTTAGCACAGATTTGTTTTAAAAGAATATTAATTATGAAAAGAAAGGATTTTTGGAAGGCTTTTCCGATGTACAAAGTCTGGGTGCTGCACGCGCAAAGCAGCAACTACGACCCATCGTCCCGTCCCCAATCAGAAGGCTGCAAAGAAATTTATTGAAATTCAAAAATAAAATACAAACAGACTTTTCGGAGAACTGCCGAAGAAAAGAAAATACAAAATAGTTCTAGTTATTACAGTTAGTTTATTGCTTACTCTGTAATTACCATCAAATGATGTCATTTTGAACTTTTTATTGCTATGGTTGAACGTGAGGAGATTCTTTTTAACAGCTCAGTTTAATTAATTCTATGATTACGTTAACTTGAATTTTAGGAAGAACACTAAAATCAGATACCTTTTTATTCATGTTTGAGGAGGTTAGAAACAAAAAGAGTATAGTCACATGCATAGTGATTTTCAGTATTAAAAGAAAACAGCTTCGTACTAAGCTTAACTGCATTACATGTATAATCCTAAGAAACTGAGCGGAGCGATATATTTGGTAATATCAAACTTCACTTGCTTCAAAAAATATAAAGATGGTAATACAGTCGACATGTTTCGAGCTTTCAGAAATAAGCGTTCATTCTCAAGACTCCTTAAGTAGTATTTCGATAATACTGAAATTCCTTCCTCTCCTGTCACATCAGCTCATCTTGATGCCCTGTAATCTTCTTTCATTCATATAAATGACGATTCTCTAGTGAACGACATGTGTTTCTCACACATTCTTTATGCACTTGGAAATGCATTTGGTCCTGATTTATTTTCCTCGGCCACTAATGTTTCTTTACTTTTGTTCACCTTCATTTATTTTTTGTTTCACTCTGAAGCTACTGCGGTCTTTCTAGTTTTGTTTATCATCGTTTTTTTTTCATGGGCAGCTTTATTTTTTCTGCTTCAAATTAATTTTGCTCTCCTCACTCACGCCTGGCCAGTCTTGCGTAAAGCTTCGGCGTTTGAAACATGTCAACTTTATTACCCTTTTCATATTTTTTGATGTAACTGGAACTTTATAAATATGATAAATAATATATCAGTTATATCACATACATTAAATAATATATCACTTATATCAATATATGCAATCCCTATACGAAAATACGATTATCTCAGTTTTTAATTACTTTCGTGAATAAACTATCCTATCATTTATAGCTTACTTCTTTCACAACGGGGCAAAGGATTTTCCCACGATCCATTCACACAAAGGACTTTACTTGAACTGGAAAGCATGTAGCCAACTTTGCAAACAGCATAGGCACGTAATTCTCGACGATAAAAAATACTTTTGTATACGGTACCATCTTCTGTCCAGGTAGTCCCTTCTGGCTTGCACAACTGACTGTTTAACACCTCTGTTTAAAAGGGCAGAAAAGAAGAAGAAAGAACTATTTGAAAAATATTTTTTTGGTGCAAAACGATACTGAGTATATTTATTTTCGTGAGTTGAACTGCTATGAACGTATTTTATTTAATCAATAAACGTAAAGTACCCGAGAAAGGCAACAAATTATCATAATAAATTGGAATTAGTTCAGTTTTTTTTAAAAAATTTTGGCGGCACAAAGCTTTAATTTTCATCCAAGATTGAGTAGGGCTGATTGATACTGATTTATTACTTATTTATTTTTTGGTTTACTCCTCACGAAGAAAGGGTTTTTTAGNGCTTCGGCGTTTGAAACATGTCAACTTTATTACCCTTTTCATATTTTTTGATGTAAATGGAATTTTATAAATATGATAAATAATATATCAGTTATATCAATATGAGCAATCCCTATACGAAAATGCGATTATCTCAGTTTTTAATTCCTTTTGTAAATAAACTCTTTTCGTCATCATTTATAGCTTACTTCTTTCACAACGGGGTAAAGGATTTTCCCAGAATCCATTCACACAAAGGACTTCACTTGAACTGGAAAGTGTGTAGCCAATTTTGCAAACAGCATAGGCATGTAATTCTCGACGATAAAAAATACTTCTGTATACGGTACCGTCATCTGTCCAGATAGTCCCTCCTGGCTTGCACAACCGACTGCTTAACACCTCTGCTTAAAAAAGGGGGAAAATTTTATATTTATTTAAATTAAAGTATATTTATTTTCGTGAGTTGAACTGTTACAAATGTATTTTGTTTAATCAATAAGAGTGAAATACCCGAGAAAGGCAACAAATTATCATAATAAATTGGAATTAGTTCAGTATTTTTTAAAAAATTTTAGCGGCACAAGGCTTTAATTTTCACCCAAGATTGAGTAGGGCTGATTGATACTGATTTATTACTTGTTTATTTTTTGGTTTACTCCTCACGAAGAAAGGATTTTTTTTAACAAGCTTGAAATAAAAGCTCTAGGCATCAAATGCAATTTTTTTTTAAATTTAAATTTGCGTCCAAAATAATTTTCACTCGTAATATCAGAAATTAATTTACTCTTTGAATTGTTGTTGTAGGCCATTAAGGCAAAGGGTGCAATTTTTCATGTTTTTCAGTGGCGCCATTCTATGGCCAAGAATTCGACTTCTGCCATAGAGCGGACCCATTCACACATCCACAGATCGTAATTTTGACCAGAAGCAGAGAACATCAATCCCCAATCCAGTACTCCCAGAGATATAATTTGTTATGAAAAGTTCCCGTTTTCACGAAAAGTTCCCGTTCTCACGAACGCGAGTCCATCATTCTGCCAACTAGGCTATGACGATCCCCTCGTTCAAGTACGAGAGCAATTAATAGTTGTTTTGCAATTATTATTTTTTGCAAGATATTCCACAAATATCTGTTAATTATTTATGAATATTGATATTCAATACAAGATTAGATGCTCTTTCTGCATTCATTTTTCTCGTCTAAACAGCAACCCCTATTAACGCCACATACTTATCTCGAGAACCAAGCCGCTGGTTTCACTAATTGCTATTACAATTTAGGATAATTCTTGGCCATAGATGACACCACTGGAAAACAAGAACAATCGCACCCCCTCTGCCTAAACAGGTATACGTCAACAACAAGGATGCCATTATAATATTTAAATGCAGCTTCACACTATGATTTTTGGTCTTGTTACTTTCTTTTATTAATATACAGGCAGTATATAAATGGAATATATAGTTAGTGATCTAATAATATTTTAATTAATTCTTTGAAAAAATTATGCTTTTTAAACTCGTAAAATTAGAAATTTAGTATATTCAAGAATGCATATACAGTTTCACAATTATTTAAATAAAATTTCATATTTTGACTAACAATAATGGCAAACAATATACGCTAAACGTGAAAAAAATATATGAATAGATTGTTCATTTAAATTCCTAATAACATACTTTTAAAATAAGTTTCAGGACGTAAATTAAGCATTTACATATAGAAACTTGTATAATTAAAACAGTATTAAAAGAAAGTTATAAGACGATTTTATGTAACTTTTAGTATGATATATAAGGTGCCAGAAAATTATTAAAACAATTATTTTTATTATTCGTGAATGAAACTTGAAAATTAGGAATGATGTAACAAAAATGAAACTATGGAAGTTGCAACCGTGTTTGCATTAGAATTTAGAAAATGAAAATTATAGTTCTGCATTGAACTTATCCAATAAAAAAAAACTACCATAATATACTTCACGAATCATTTGCTGTGGTATATTATACATTTACAGGAAATTTCAAAAAAGTAAAAAATAATAATAAATAAATAAAAGTACTGAATTGCATATTATTTTAGCGTATAATGAATTAATAGTTTTTCTGTTGATGTCACCGTGATCTGCTGTTTTTTCTTTTTTCTCAGAAGTTTCCAGATGTCTTCAACTAAGTTTTTTTTTTCTATAGCTCTTAGTTCTATACTGATGTAAGAAATTAAGAGAATTTGTAGACTTGGACGTAGAATTTGTAGAATTTGTAGACTCTAGATCTACTGGACAGATTTTAATGACATTTGATATGTGCATACATTGATACAATACAAAACAAATAACTATTCCAACAATTGTAAAACTCACGCATGATCGCGCAGGAAAAACATAAATGGCTGCAGAAAAAACAAAAATCTGTAAATGGGCCCCCTTTTACAGATATACAGGCCTTGCATCGTGATTTCATACTTGAAATAAGGCGGTTTATCATTTTCTGTAGCGATTGTCCTGCGGCATTTTCGTACCTTCTGACTCCAACGACTGTTGTTACAAAACAGCAATTGTAGTACACATGCAACATTATGCATGTGTACTACAATTGCTGTTTTGTATTGTATCAATCTATGCATATATAAAATTGCATTAAAATCTGTCCAGTAGTTCTAGAGATAATCGACCAAGTCAGCAAATTCTCTCAGTTTTTTATACCATTTCCAAAAATTAAATTATTTGTTCAATTAGTAGTTGCTTAGTAATTATTTTTTGCGTGATATTCTACAAATATATGTTATTTTTCATTGAATAATAGTCAATATAGCGTGTTGCATAGATGCATAGGTTGCAAAAGGGAATTATATTTTAGTAAATGAATTTTGTAATAAACGCTAATTTATGGCTAAAAATTACGAACACGAGTATTCAGTCAGTTTTATTTTAATGCGTGTCATTGTATGAAAGTGAAGCAACACCAGTAATATTGGAGTTGTTTCACTTTCATGCAATGATGCAATTTGGCACAAAAAATACATTATTTAAATTTATAGAGTGATTCTATTTTTACAGTGAACGCAGGAAATTGATTAAAACTTTTTTAAATACGCGTAATATTTCATGCGGTTAAAGTTTAACGTAGACTTAATTCCGAACAGAACATTTGAAACATGACGTTTTTACTTCTTCAATTATGACACAAAGCCCATAATTTAGAATTTAAATAAAATTATTTCTATATTTAGAACTAAATAATAATATACGATTTAATTATAAGATAATTTTTTTCCTAAATTAAAATATGTCTTCTTATGGTTCAGTTTCGTCAACTAGCAAAATAATAATCTTCATTTTGTCATTTTAAAAAAAAATAATTTTCTTGGTTTTTTTCCCTCTCATTACTTTAGGAACTTAATGTCTCAATTTATATAAGAGATTAAGTCAAAACTTACCTGCATATGATATGCATATCAAACTATTGATCACGAACAATAGCTTAACTATAATGTTTGAACACATGTTGTTTCATTTAAAACATAGTTTAGTGTATATCTGCTTTATTATGCATGATGTATTTACGTAGTTGCAGTACAACGAATAAAATCATATCATAAGAAATTGCTTCAGTTTACATTTTATATCAATCGGTCAAATGATAAGCAAATCGCCTTGACCTCGCATGTCTGATTTTCACTTGTCATAAAATCATAATTTACGAAAGTGAAACTAAAAGGAGACAAAATAGGCAGATAAATGGCCTTAAAATATCCGTTTTTCAATTTTGTGGTGCCATTTGAAAAATAAATACTTAAGATTTTTATTACAATTGAAATAAACCTTTTCTTTTCTTTTTTTTATTTCAATCGTTAAAAAATAAACACCTCTTAGAAGTGTGGAATTTTGCGTTTAATGGCCCTAGTTAAATAATTATAGAAAAATGCTTTTATAGCTTACTTCATAACTTAGTTTATAACTATGTATTGTACTGAAAATCTTAAAAGTGAAGATTATAACCTTTTTTTAGTGTATTTCCTCGATATGATAAAATAGAGAACGAAATTTTTAATTTCTTAACAAAAAATAATTTTCTTTAGAAATTTTTTTATATTCATCATTATAAATTATTTTATTTGAATATAAGTTTTTACAAATTTCGTTAGCGTGGAGGCCAAGAGTGTTAAGAAAATGGAGTCCTAAGTTGTTTTCCCTCCCATAATAGTGATGCCATAGATTTCAATAGCGGTTTTGTTGCACCATAGCTTAAATATTATTTGAGTGACCTAATGTGAATACCTTATTGACAAGAATCCTAAAAATATATATTTAGGGCCGTCAATACGAAACACCCTGTATACGATTAACCCGGCAAAAAAAATATTTCATATCACTTTTGCAAGAAATTTCATACAAACGTAGATCAAATATAATTAAAGTACTTTTTTCCCAAAGTCCATAGTTTTTTATAGATTTTTAGCGAACGCTACAAAAAATTACATTACTCTTCTTTTTTATTTTCTAAAAAATGAAACCTAAAAGAAAACGCCAATTTTTTCCTAAAACTCAAAATTTTCACATCATTTGGCATAAAAACTTATAGACGGCAATAATTTCATCAGATTTATTACAATAAGCACAATCAGGTTTATGATGCAGGCTCATTAAGAAAATATGCCAAATATTTCATTTTTATAATTTTTTTATAAATAGAAGAAATGTTAGGAAAAATTTAAAAACTGAATGAAGTAAAGTAAAATGATTGACAGTTGCTAAGGAACGGTTACATATTACGGAATAATTAATAATAGACGCTGATGGATGAAATGAAACTATAAGTACATATTTCGTAGAGAAAATTTGCATTTATTATTCTGCAAAATAGTTCCGATATCGGTAGATTAAAAATAAAATAAAATTATAACCAAAAAAGATGCTCATTGGACGATTTCCAACCAGCCATGAAAAATGGATCTACTCGCTAGAATGAAACATAAATGAGTACCTCGAACACTGATGCACACGTTGCATCGGTTATTATGGGGTTTTCATCGCTTGCATGGTTTGGAAAGGGTGTGTTCTTAATAAAACACGTCTACCAAGGGCAACCTAGGCATATTTTATAGGATTTAGGTCCGAAGAGTACACAGACCATCGCGAACGGTCATTATCCATAATTTATAGTGTGTTCGATACCTCAGCGCATCTGCGTGGTCGCGCATTGTCGTTTGTAAGCAGAAAGTCTGGACCTAGCACACCCCTAAGCAGACTAACATGATCCAAAATAATCCCTCTGCAATTCCGCTGCGACGTAACGTTATCTCGCTCTAATATGTGAAGCGGTGTTCAACCATTGAGCTTGATGCCTGCCCATACCGAACACGCCCATGAACCTATTGTGCACAACGTATTACCCTCTCTCTCTTCACACTATAGTTTGTCTAAAGTAAGAACTCCTATATCCATTTGTCTGGACCCATGGCTGTGACTATGGTAAAGAGGTATAACTATTTCATGAAGGGGTGTGGGGTCACGGTTTGGGGCAACTTTTGGGTCGGTTCGGTGAGAGAAAGGGAATCTTCCTCTCGGTCTTTTGTGTTAGTCTTAGAGTGAAGAGAAACTACCCTCCCTGAAATGCGCTATTCCTGTTTCCATAACAGCATACGAACTCAGACTTTGTGGCGAGGCGAGTTCTTACTGTTGGCAAACTATAACTGGTAGCCAGAATCACTTTCCATAGTGAATCAGGATTCGTCGGAGAATACTCTGGACCTTTGCTGGTTCCTACGTTGGTGTACAACGTCATCTTTGTCGACGAGTTAGAGCGAGATTCATCGAATAGGTTTCCGTGTAGGCAAATCAGCTTGATTTTATCGCCGTGAGATGATTCTAGGAGAAACATGTGTGACGGTTGTGTTACAAGATCTGCTACTGTTGATATCTGCCTAGGAGTGACATTTCTGTTTCTTTTCGCTACTGGGGATACATATAGTTACTTTTGAGACACGGTGTTCCTACAACGACCACCGGCATGCTATTGCATTATATTCTCCACCTTTAGCGGTCTTTTTTAATCACGAGATTACTTTTTTTACACTCCCGATGCTGTGGCCTCAGTGGTGACATTTTAACTAGCTTCCAGACGTCTAACAGCTCGTCCACGATTGTAATAACTGATATGATATCTTGCTAACATTATGCATTTAACTATTGCAACACCACACACCTCACAGAAATAAGTTCAACAAACTATGGTGCTATTTTAATCAAATACCTAACATTATGAATTTTCGAATGAATGGAGAAATTGTGTGCACTACGTTTTATACACATAACGGGTGCTGCTCTACCACGCCCTCTACACTCGATTTTACTGTTAGAAGTCGACTGTCGAAAGTTTACTAATAGCAAACTTAGCTACAAGTACTTTTATTCTTAAAAATAAAATAAAATAACATAAACAAGCCAAACGTCTTTTTTATTTAAGACAGTTTTTTTTTACTTGTGCATATCAAAGCTTTAATATTATATGTTAATATTTAAAATAATTTTAAAATTACTACGTTATTAAAACTATTTACTAAACTATTTAACTATTAAAACTATTAACTATTTAACACTATTTAACTATTTAACGGTTTTAAACTATTTTAAAATATGAAAACATGGCTATTTTAATTAAAAAATCTTACTCTCATAAATTTATAAAGTTGTATATTTCATGAATTTTTTATAGTTAGATGAGAAAATAGCCCATTTAGATAATTAAATAATAGATAGCAGAGTCAGATAACGAGATCGCATAGTTAGATAACCAGATAGCATAGCTCGTCTGCGAAATAACACAGTTTAATAAACAAAAAGCCAGTTTAGATAAACAGATAGCACAGTTAATTATCTTGATACTGTAGCTAGATAACCAGATAGTAGTTCGATAACTGTATACTATATAGAGATTTATCTCATTACCTATAGGAAAATCGTGATGTTTTTCACAACAAACACTCTCCTCAGCAATATGATTACATGACTCATTATATTACTTGCAACCTTTCATACCATCTTATATTTTATTTCTTAACAGTCGTTGAACAGCCGACCCAATTTTAGGTTTACGACTTCTAATGTTTAATTCCGTAGCCTTGTAATTTTGAACCCAATCCAGAAGAAAAGAGAACGCCAGGATCAAGAACTGGGAGAAATTTGAATTCGTGAAAAACTTTTTGATGAAACTAACCTGCATTTGCGTTACATGGTGAGGAAAACCGCGAAAATCCCCAATTGTTAGCTTGACGGCAAAGGCACTCTAACCCATGATCCGTCTACCATTGAGGATATTTTACGTCAGCACTGTGGTCGGTGCGAGCCGGTTTCGGAATTAATATCGACTAACTGTCGCTGGGATTCGAGCCTCAATGTGAGGCGAACAGTCTATCCCCTGAACCATTACGGCTCATACCATCTAATAAATTTAATTAGTTTGCCAGCTTAGTTTGTTTTTTCTTGGCAACACTTTTTTTTAAAATACTTGAAGGCAGCTCCCCTATTTGTTCCGCTCACCAATCCTCAAAATTCCTTCTCATTCATCTTTGCTTTTTTTCTTCATAAATGTTAATATTTTCCATATAAACACTGAGATCCGCGATGGCTCGGGGGACAGAGCGTTCGCCTTCCAACGTGGCGAACCGGGTTCGAATCCGCATCCGGCTTGAGCTAACCACAGTTCTCACGTGAAATATCCTCAGTGGTAGACGGATCATGGGTTAGAGTCCTCTTGCCGTCAAGCTAATCGTGGGAGGTTCTCGTGGTCTTCTTCTCCATGTAACGCATTTGCGGGTTAGCTCCATCAAAAAGTTCTCCACGAAGACAAATTTCTCCCAATACTCGATCCAAGAGTTCCCTTGTCTTCTGGATTGGNATCTCATTCATCACTTTTTCTTTCCTTAAGCGTCAATACTTTTTACAAAAATACATTTTTTTTTTCAATATATGCAATTTTTGTTGTTTTATAAAGGAATATTTTTTTGATATGTTAAGCTTAACGAAATCGACGATTACCTAGATTAGAAAAATAATCACTTGTACTCTAAAAAAAACTAACCAAAAGAATGCAGATTGTAGGGTTCAGTAAGAAGAAATAAATGAAAAATAATTTTACTCGTTGGAGAGACTTATAAAAATTCAAGTAATGAACGGTTTTCAGTGACCTTTATAAGGTTTATTTTAAAAAATTTCAATATAAACTACTTATATCAGACATTATGTAATCGATCTATCTCTTTTTGCTAATTTTGATTTACAGCAACTCGAGCGTGAACTTCTATAAAATAAAGAAACAAAGTTCTTGACTGGAAAAAAAAAATATCTACAACAATGGATAAATAGTCACAATTTCTGAAAAATCGCAAAAAAGAAAATCAAAAAATATCTGAAAAATCACATAAAAGCACTTAAATGTGTTATAACTTTAGAAAAAATTAAATTTCGAAACAAAATTCGCGTTAATGACAAAAATAAAAATGGCTTTTTCAGCGCATCAAATTTCAACTCCGTAGTTGCATCTCAGCAGATTCAGATCATCCAGACATGATTTTTTTTTCTCTACAAGTTTAACTGATAATAAATTCCTGAACTTATTGTCGAATCTAATTTAATTTTTATTC